ATTGCACACAGCGTGATTGTGAATCGCCGACAGCTCCAGATATTTAGCATGCCAAATATTTCACGGGCGTCAATTCTCTCAGATCGCGTCTTAGATAATTCACACTGCGTGATTGTCACTCGCGTGAACGAGCACTGATTTGCCTCCGATTTTGGGCATTTGTTGGCGATTTCGCAAAACCTGTCGGCGAGTGAAAAATCGGCCTAAAATCGTGCAGTGTGAACTCGGCATTAGCCTGCATTTTAAAATCTTTATTTGAATGTGGCAACGTTTTTATTTTTAAACCTTTATGTTTACTCTAAAATATTTCTATGAATAAATCTCTGACAGAGACTATCAGCCAATCACTGTGTGTTGAACGTTTAGTGGCAGGTTTTCTTTCCAATTAACCCACTGTACTTTCCCTCTTCGAATGGTGCCAGAACCAGCAGCCAATCAGAGCAGAGAGTCACTCAGGCTCCGCCCCGTCTCTCTCTCGCTCCAGCAGCTCTTCAGTCAGACTCTCTTCCCCGAGCAGCAGAGCAGACGCGGATCCACCGGAGAAACTCCTGAACCCTTCAGATGATCATGAGAGTCCTGAGCGCTTTGCTCCTCATCAGTGCTGTCGCAGCGCCTGTGAGAGGAGACACAAACTTCACAGGTAAGAACATGTTTCCTGAACCACCGACCGGCTGAAAGCATATGCTGGAGCTCTTATTTTAGACTTACATGGCAAACTTCACTGTATAATTGCATGTTCTCAGAGAAGCTCTTTGAATGTTTGCCACAGAAAGTCCTGAAAGCCGCAGGACGGCGTGATGGGACGGGGTTTCATGCTCTGAAATTACACATCTGGGTTTAATTTTAGCAGAGACTCGCAGCACTCCTCCAGTAAAGACGGTGCTGAAGTCCAGCTTCCATCTGTATCACGAGGGGAGCGTGTTTGAGGAGACCTGCGCCGTGGTCCCATTCAGGTCCGAAACCCTCCACAGATGCGCCTACAACCGAAGCGACCCGCTGGTGCTGATTATACACGGCTGGACGGTGAGAGAAACCCTGATCAACACAACACAGAAGATCAGAGCTCAGTCAGACCACACCTAGCCTCCTACAGAAACCACTTTCTATCAGATCTGATGATGTAGAACAATAGAGAGCTTTACACAACACAGCCATGTAAGGCTTCTCAGGAGATTTGGAGTTGAAAAATCCCTCCATCAGGCAGCGGTCTCGTCTGTGTTCACTGGCTGTTAGACGCTGCGTATCGCTGCTTTACGACTCAGTTCATGTGTCAACAAACATGTAGAGCAGACAGGAATTTCCTCGAGACGGAGGAAACGGGCAAAGGCTTTGAGCAGTGGCTTTGTTTTGCCGCATGTTTGTGTGTGAATGACGTCAGCTCTTCCTGCTGCTCTCAGATGAATGGGCTCATGGAGCCCTGGATCTTCAGTCTGGCTTCTGCGCTGAAGGTCCGGCTGGGGCGGGTCAACGTGCTCATCAGCGACTGGAGGAAGCTGGCACTTCAGCCGTATCCAATCGCAGCCAAGAACAGCAGACAGGTGGGGAGGGACGTGGCCAGGCTGCTCAAATGGCTGGAGGTAATGAAAATCTTCAGCGGAAACATTTGCTGAACCAAACCCACTGCGTCTAAAAACCGAAACATTATTTAAGGGTTCTCCGAAGCGGAAGTCCTCAGAGTTGGGTAAACTTGTATAGTGGTGAACGCAAACGACAACAAATATAGTTTTTGTGTTCCCATTTGCTCCAATAGCAAAAGTAGAGAAATCCAAAATGGCAATTCTATGATTTGAAAAAAATATGGAGAGATTGATTAACCCAGCTAACATTAATATGCTCTGAGAACGGTTTGCTAATGTTTCCATTAAGTTATGAAAACATTATTTCTGAATGTTCTTTGAATGTCCAAAATGTCCAGTTTTTTAAATGTTTGAAAAACTTTTTTATTTATTTATTTTTTTGGATATGCGAGCGGTAAGGAAACATTCTGTTTTATCATTTTGCAAACATTACAGGAATGTTACTTTTGAATGTTCTCTGAAACAAACAGTAACATTTAAAAAAATTATAGATAAACATCCAACCGAAACATTTCAGGAAAAAAAAAACAGCCCACGAAAGATGTATAATAATGTTTTTGCGCTAATATTTTGAGAAAATTTTTAAAGACCAGATAACTTTGAACAAACGTTCTATTAATGTTACTGGAAGAACGTTTGTTCATAAGCTTGAGAGAACCTTTGCCAGAACGTTATGAGAACGTTAAGAAGCTGGTCAGAAGATGTGACATTTATCGTCACTCCCTCATCTGTTGTTAGAAACACTCACGCAGCAGCGTTTACTAGTTTCATGTGATTTAATGTCAAAGATAATAATCATAATATAACAGTGCAGTGTTTAAAATATGTACATTAATTCAAATATGAAAAACTTCACTAGATTTAGCGTGTCGATAACTGTGGAAATCATCTTCACAGCTTGTTAAAAGGGTCTGTACTGTATGTGCATCAGTGTCTAAGAGTGAACTGTTTGAGTCCAGACAGCACTTCCTCTCTCGACAGGAAGTGGCGCAGCTCTCCATGGATGATGTCCACCTGATTGGCTATAGTCTGGGAGCGCATGTGGCCGGATTCGCAGGAAGTCATTTCAGAGGACTGAGGAAAGTGGGCCGCATTACTGGTAAGATGCAGCCAAACACATGATCAAACAGCATTTATCAGAGCTTGAGCTTCCCATTCATCTTGACGACTGTCACTCTGTCTCAGAGTGCTGATCAGTTTATAACGGCTGACATCACTGGAATGAAGAAGTGAAGATCCTGACATGATTCAGTCTGAAACTTTCTTCAGAGGAACTGTGGTCTCTAGAAAGATGCCCGCATTCTCCACCAGCGTCTGATGAGAAGAGTCTCGATGAAAACACACATGCTGTTCCAGCCAGTGAAAGACCAATGACAGAGTGCTGTGTGTGTGATGCAGGTCTGGATCCGGCCGGGCCACACTTCGAAGGTCAGCCGGCATTTGACAGACTGTCTCCGGACGACGCTCAGTTTGTGGACGCCATCCACACCTTCACCGGCTCCAGCATCATGCCGGGAGTAGGAATAAAGCAGAGCGTCGCTCACGTGGACTTCTACCCCAACGGAGGCTCCTTTCAGCCCGGCTGCAAGATGCTCGACATTTACAGCAACGTCTTCCAGTATGGCCTGCAAGGTACTACTGAACCCGACGCGCAGATCCGCAGGCAAAAATATAGAATCATTTGGCATGATTCATTTGCATTTATTGAGATGATGAATTGAACAGGCCATTCAAACTGGACGTGTTCTTGTGTTTTTGATTAATTACACGAAACACAGACGTCTCAGGATGTGTTTTTAAAAGATGAATCGGAATCAAAAACAGCTGAATCAGGAATTTGTCTAGGTGACAGAAGCTTATAGTGCAGAGCAGGCTTATTACATTATATATTAACTGATTCTGAAACTAAATATAAACCATTATTATATATTAACTAAAACTATAAAAAAAAAACATTTTCATTATTTGAAATGAAGTAAATATTTTAAGTAAAAAAATTTACTTAAATTTATTTTAAGCTAGTTTCTAAGGCAACATCATTTTCATTTAGTTTAACTTGATGTACTAAAATAACTAAAACTAAAATTAAAATAAAAATGTTAAAAAAAAACTACATAGACATTCTTAGTTTTTGTTTTTAATCTAATACAAATGACAAAAACACAACAAAATTACTAAACTGTAACTGAAATTAACATGAAAATATATCATATATAAAACAATATATAAAACATGTATAAAAATATCACTGCAAAAAAAAGTTTTCTTCCTCAGTATTTTAGTTTTTTCCCAGTACAGATATCTAAATATTCTTGAATCTAGATACATTTGCTTGATTAGCAAAATGATGTACAATATTAAGCAGTGCTTTAAGAAAAATTTCTCAATTTTGTTTGTTTTTGGTTAAAACAAGGGAAAATATGTGCCAATGGGCTAAGAAAAATAATTTTAATTCAAAGGGAAAAAATATAATTTTTCTTGCTCCACTAGCAAATATTTTTTTCTCAATTTAAGTAAAAACATAATTAATTTTAAAATATTTTTCAGAAAACAAAACTCAATGTGTTAAGTCATTTTGCTAACCAAGCAAATATATCTTGATTCAAGAATATTTAGATATTTGTACTGGAAAACAAGTTTAATAAATATGTCTGAATTTGCATTTCACAGTGGTTCTGTTGCACATGAGATGATGCGTTATGAGAGACTGATGAGGCTGTCGGTGCTTTAACTTTTTTAAATGGCACGCACTCTCACAAAAACATGGCACTTATGTGAAACCGCAAACTCAACCCAAATGCAT